ACTCCTCACATTGAAGCTTTACTGGTGCAGCAGAACAGCTGTCTGTGCCGTAGGGTCAGTTGGCAAGATCTATAGGAAAAGCTGACTCATGCGCTCTGAAACTGGAGTCTAAATCTCCATAGATCTCTGTTCGTGTACATACTGTGGTTTTCAGAGAGGAACATATCAAGCCCCTCTGTTCACACAAAATTAGCCTAAGGCCTAGTTCTTCACCATCTGGCAAGTGACTATCCAGCCAGAAATCATAGTTTTGCCCTCCCTTCTCTTTTCATCTTGTATGTCTCTAATTGAGGACAGTATTGTAACTCACTCAGATAAACAGGAAAAGAATACAGAGTAATAAAAACCACACAAAGAGTTTCTTCTCTAGCCTCTGTATAGCCAAACAATCTAACAATTGCTCCCCTAAGTGGAGGTTTAACAGTCTAATGTATGTGAACCTTACCAAATTTGCCCCTTGATGGAACAACAGTATCTCATAGGGTTTTGTATTTTCAGAACTTTCTTGTTGAAGAAATAAAATATTAGCTTGCTCTTTATTTCTTGACCTCTTTACATTAATTGGTTTCTGGAAAAGATACATAATATATCTTAGTAATATATCTTGTTTTCTCTATCTGACTTAATTTTGGAGGGTTTTAAACTGAAAAGTTTTTTGGTGAAACATATTGAAGAATGTAATGAATGAAAATTCTGATAGTGTGGTGCAGTTATCTCATAGGAGAAATTGTCTACTATACCTTTATGAATTCCCTACATGATAAATTCTCAGACATTAGTACCCCAAGTATCTACGTTTTAGGAACAAATTAACTCTTTATGAAATCTCATTTTTCTTCTTGCTTTGGTCTCACCCTCTCAAATTTGAATTCATGGGTTATCTCTAATAGATGTTCAAGTCAGTTCTTCATTGTTTTTGCTATATGTATTCTTTATGGTAGATATAACATTCAGTTTTCCCAGTTTTATCTTATTTCACAGAATCATCTACACAGCAATAGCACAGCGGGTAGGGCGTTCGCCTTACAAGCGGCCAACATGGCCGACCCGAGTTCGATTCCTCCGCCCCTCTCGGAGAGCCCGGCAAGCTACCGAGAGTATCCGATATGCCAGACACAGTAACAACAAAGTCTCCAATGGAGACGTTACTGGGCCCGCTCGATGAAATCGACGATCAACGGGAGGGCCTTTACCTTTACCATCTACACAGAATCTTCTTATTGTTAAAATCAAAGGGACCACGCTGCCTGAGTTTCTCACACTAGAACAGGGAGGAACTACTTAGTGTGAATACGTCACGGGTAGCTTGCCAGGCTTTGCTGTGCGGGCAAGATACTCTCGGTAGCTTGCCGGGCTCTCTGAGAGGGGTGGAGGAATCAAAACTGGCTTGGCCGAGCCAGCTGTATAAAAGGCAAATGCCCTACCCACTGTACTTTCGCTCCAGCCCTATATATATGTAGGTACATTGTACCACTTGAGAGATTATGTGTCATATATATATGCTTTTTGGGTCATACCTGACGATGCACAGGGGTTACTCCTGGCTCATGCACTCAGGAATTACTCCTGGCGGTGCTCGGGGGACCATATGGGATCCTGGGAATCGAACCCGGGTAGGCCGCATGCAAGGCAAATGTTCTACCCACTGTACTATTGCTCCAGCCCCTCAAACTGAAGTTGTTTTATCTTTGGATAAATACTTTTGAAATGGCATTTCTGGATCATATTCTATTTGTTTCATTAAAATTTTAAGGCTTCTACTTACTATTATAACAATCTACTATTGAAGGCCAAACTTTTCTTTGGAATAGTAGCTAGCTGTTTATTCTCAGAAAATAAACTCTCTGGATTTGGGGATAATTTAAACGCTAGTATTCTCAATGCAGTTTTTAAAATGTAGCGATAGTGATCAAGGTTGAGCCTTGAAAATAAAGTTTGGTCAGATTGTTTTGTTTTCTAATATGTTTAATTTTTTTTTTTTTTTTTTTTTTTTGCTGAGGGCATACTGAATGCTCTCTTCCTTTGTTTTTTCCCAAAGCATAGTTGATACTCTTTGAAATGAGTAAATTATAACATACAGGTTTTTCTAGATTTATTTCTCTTATATGCACATATGAAGGAATGATAGTAGCACCTGACTGAGAAAAGAAAGGAAGGAAAGGCAAATTATGTAATCCGTGAAATAAACACATACTTGAATTACAAAGGCCAGTTAGAGAATGGCTACTGAACGGTTGTCTGAAGAGTTATTGGACGTGAAATATTTCTGCTTGAGGTAAAAGATTGGGTTATACTTGAAAAACTGCCAAATATCCCTTTTTGATTGGTGGCAAATAGAACTTCAGTTCAGTAACTGAGCCGTGCCACCATCTGCCCCACACTCTCTTTCTGCTGGTTGGCATGCCGTTTATTTGCTTTTAACATGCAGCCCATATAAAAATCGCTCATAATCTGCCAAAATTAGAAATGCAGCTGTTTTAAGACTTAAACAGCAATAGCACTATTCATTATGCCAGTGTGGAGGAATAAAATAGAAAGATACATTTGAAAAGAGCAATGCTATAACAGAATGTATCTGTACCTCATTTTTTTTCTAACCATTTTTAAGTCATCTGTATCCTGTTACCAGTGTTGACTTTAGATTCAAAGTGAAGTTGACTCATAAACATACCAAATATCTTATTCCTGCATATGTTTTAATAGACGAATTATAGTGAAATTAGCTCTGAATTATTTCCCTCCCTGTTATAAAGCAACTTTTTATCCTCTGGAAAATGAAAGATTTCTGCCTAACACTGAGTCTCATCCTAGTTTCTTTTCATTTTTCACAGATTTTTTTAAGACTCTGATAATTATAACTTGTTAAACCTGAGAACATAATAATGTAGAACTATATGAAGAAGAATTCTGAGACCAAGCAATTAGTCCACTATTTAGCCAAAAAATGAAGGAAAAACAGAGAGCAATCCTGTGATGCTGAAAAAAATAACAAAATTAGAGCAAACTATTCATTGTTTTATTGTTCTCCACCATTAGATTATTTTTAAAATGATAGATTTTAGGGAACAGTGAGTTTCTGAGATGTCTTTCCTCTCAGTAACTATACAGAACTGCTTTAAACTGAAAGGGTAAGTAGCTTTAAGGCATATTTTAGGATTAATGGTTTGAATATGTGTGCTCCAGCCTTCTCATTTTGATAGTTATATCAAAATGAAAGGTTTAGAGAGCTCAGTAGAAGTTATTTTGTTAGGTGCTAATGTTTCCTCCATGTGAGATCTTTTAGCATACAAGTCTTACACCCTAAAAAATCATTCATATTTGTAAGAATTGACCTGTAAAAGTTTCTTTCTCTGGAATAGAGGCATTAAAATGAATGGTAAGAAGTCACAAGTTTGCTTAAATGGATATACTTGAGGTGCATTTATTTTACATACCCAGTGAGATTAACCGTTCTAAAGAGTAGGGCAATGTGTTGAAAGTTTCTTATCATTTTACATTAACAATTATTTAAATATAGTGGGGGCTAGGGGTGCCTTCCTAGCAGTGCTCAGGAGGCCTTGGGTCCTCTCACCCATTCTTGAGCCAATTTAACAGTTGTTTAATGTGATATCCTGAAAATTATGTGCATTTTGATCATTGGACCCACTTTGATAGTGCTTTGTCCTGCAGGGCTATGCTCAGCCATGCTCAAGGGATCATGTGGTGCAGGAATTTAACCAGAGCCAGCTTTATGGAAAGCATGAAACTAAAAAAAACATATATTGTCTCTCCAACCCCTTGTTAATTTTAATTGTATTGTTATTGTCTTTCTGGTAGCCTTCAGAGGACAATGTAGTGTTAAGAATCAATTTTAGGATCTCACACATATAAGGGAGGATCTCAGACACACAGTACACATTCTTTTACCATAAGAGTCATATCCCCATCATAATGTTGGGGTTCTTTAAAGAAAATTCATATAATGTTGGAAAAATTTAAGTCAATCTGAAAACTCTTTCTTGTGATTGGTATGTTTTCTTGCCAATATGTTTCCTTCCAATAATTGGTTTTCTTAGCAATTTAAAACTTTCTTAATGTAATTCAATTTGAAAAAAAGTAACTTGGGTTTTAAGTAGTTAAAATATAAAAAATACATTAGACTTTATGACACATATAATAAATATTATAAATTAATAAAATATTTATATATTATTAACATGCTAGCTTTTTATCTTAAGCAAATACTTTTTTATATTTAAAAAAGTTTAATTTTTTAACTATTAACAGATTGAGCCGAATAGATTCATCTTGTTATCCTTCAAGCCTAACGGCAACCTCAGTATCATCTCATGTGTAGATCTCTACCCTTGCTTGTTTTGTGCTTTTAAAAACATTTACTGATGAGTAGAGGTCTTGATTTCAACCATCTCTAATGGCTGAAATCTATTTTTGATCTCCTGGGCTATTCAACATGCAGAATGAGTGAGGTGAGCTCAGATACTTCTCTCTGGCTTTGAAATGAGAATGGCCTTTATCAGTGTCACCTTTCTAAAAACGTTAACAGTCAAACCTGGTGTTGTAAACTTATAAATTCTGTTGTGGTTTTAGATTTACAGAAAATTCACAAAAATACTATCGCATTTTTCTCACCCACATCTACTTTTCTCTAATGTTAACATCTTCCATGATCATAGTACATTGGTCAAAACTAAGGACTCAACAATGTGACATGATATAATAATTCCCCTATGAATATTCATAATGCTTTGATGCCAGAACCCTGTCCAGAATACCACATTGCAGTATGTTGTTAAATTTCTCTACTCTCCAGTGGTATGATATTTTTGCAGACTGTCTTTGTTTGTTTTGATTTGACCTTAACAAACTTTAAAAAGACAAATTATATATATATATAATTATATATATTATATATATTACATATACAATATATATTACAATACCCTCCAGACTGAGTCAATGTGGTATTTTCTGTCTTTAAACTAGGGCCAGGAATGTTTTGTACTCAGTTATGAAAACTTTGGATTTGCTACTGGCTTTAAAGTGATGATAAAGTGTGTCTGAGGAGATAGTGTTTGAATAGTGTCAGAAGTAATCGATAATTAATGAAAAATAAAATATTAGAGGCCAGATAGTTCAGAAGGTTGTGACATCCTGAAAACTGTATCTCAGGGTTATTTTGTAGTAATGAATAAGCAATTAGTTTGCAAGATCTGTCAACAATCAGGAAACCAATAAAGATACCTTAGGACCAGGAAACCAGGGAAAGTAACTCATATCAGAAATCATCAGAAACTTGAGTGCTACAAATCACAAAAATAATGCCTGAAATGGTAAATATGGTCCATTTTGAAGGCATGACTTTAGTTGTTGAATTGTTTCTGGGAAGAAGCTCTTGACAGAGGTTCTAGACCTATTCTGTGTACTATATCAGTTCCATACTTAGTTATTGATAATGTTCTTTTACAACCATGTAATATTCTGGAAAATAAGCTTTTCTTTGTTGCTTATCCTCAGCATCTAGATCAGAACCTGACACCTAATAAGCATAACCAATATGCAAAATTAAGAATTACTAATATAGCAATTAATTCTGCTAGTATTACCTATTATCAAATATTCGCAGTTTTTACTATCTGTTGGTTCAGTTTCCATGTTTTCACATCCTTATCATAACAAGAGTTTCCTATCATTTTCTTGTGCTAGTTTTGTGCCCTTTCATCCATTCTCCTTCATTATTAAAACCTAGTAAAATTCTTTTTTTGTTTGTTTGGGGGCCCTACATAGCAGTGCTAAAGGTATACTTCCAGCTCTGCACTCACAGATCACTTCTGGCAAGCTCATAGGACCATATGTAGTGCCAAGATTCAAATCTGGATCAGTTGCATGCAAGGCAGGCACCCTACCTGCTGTACTATCACTCCAGCCGAATCCTAGTAAAAGTCTAGACCAGAATTGAATCATATCACTCCTCCATATAAACCTTCAATAGCACAAAGAATAAATATTACTTTGACTAATGAAACTGTGGTTTGGTTTCTGCATCCACATTTCCTCCTATTCTACTTCTTACCTTACCCAGCTCTAGTATGTGGGCACATAAACTCTTTCAAATCTTTCATATATATTATAATGTACTGTGTTGCTGCTAACACCCCTTGCAGTTGCAATTTGCACTAGTTATATTCCCTTCCATTCTATTGCCTTGCTTTGCTAGTGTGTATTCATCCTTCATGACTTGGTATATATATTCTCCTCTGTGAAATCTTACCAGCAACATCACGTTTGGGTCAGGCATCTCTTCATACCAAGTGCTCTCTTCATTAGCATTTATTATACTGTTTATGATAGCATTTGTATTGATTTTTAAAGTAATTTTTCCTTATAACAGAAGGTAGCATAGCTTCTTAATTTTCACGTCTAATAGTATCATGAATATTTTAATTAAAGGTAATATGTGGGCTGGAGCGATAGCATAGCAGATAGGGCATTTGCGTTACATGCAGCCAACAGAGCCAACCGGAGGTTGATTCCTCCACCCCTCTTGGAGAGCCCGAAAAGCTACTGAGAGTATCTAGCCCGCACAGCAAAGCCTAGCAAGCTACCCGTGATGCATTCGATATGCCAAATACAGTAACAAGTTTCACAATGTTACTGGACCCACTGAGGCAAATCGATGAACAACGGGAAGACAGTGACAGTGATGAATACTACTATATAGCTTTATACATTTTAACTTTTCTCATTATCTTCTCTAGTACATATGTGCCATTTGGTTAAATGGTCATTAAGTAATTATCGATTTTTATATGAAATGTCCATACTAATTATGATCATAGGCACAAAAATAACATTTTAACTTAGATGTGATATTCCAGATACTAGTTTAGAACACTTCATATTGTCAATCCACAGAGTATTTTTAAATAGATATTTATGTGAGTTTTTTTTTAATTTTTATTAGTGAGACATCATGAGGTACAGTTGTAGACTTACAATTTTTAGTGCTTGGGTTTCAATTATACAATGAACAGATACCCATCCCTCCACCGGTGCCCATTTCCAACCACCATGGATCCCAGTATCCCTCCCACCCGCCATCCCCCCCATCCCATCCTGCCTCTGTGGCAGGGCATTCCCTTTTGCTCTCTCTCTCTTATTGGGTGTTGTGGTTTGCAAAAGAGGCAATGGGTGACAATCATGTTTGGTCTATTGTCTACTTTCAGCATGCTTCTCCCATCCTGGGATAATCCTCCCAACACCCTTTATTTGGTTCCCTTCTCTATCTGAGCTCCCTTTTCCCCTAGCATGTGTGGTTGGCCTCCAAGCCATGGAGTGAAATTCCTGGTACTAATCTCGGCCATTCTTGGGTGTTAGTCTCCTATTTCAATTTGTCTTTTGATATAATGTCATAGGATGATGCCGAAGCAGAGCTGAAGGTAATCTGTGTATCCAACACGCTTCCATGAGAAGAAATTTTAGGATCAGCAGGCTCAAAAGCAGCTCAGAACATCTATATCCCTTAAATACTTTTTTGTTTGCTTGGGGCGTAACCAGTAGTGCTTAGGGCTTATGCCTGACTCTATCCTCTGGGATACTGAGCATACTCGGATACTCCAGGTGTGGTTCTGGGGATCACATGTGGTTCTGGGGATCAAACTCAGGTCAGCCACATGCAAGGCAAGAGCCTTCTGAGTTGTAGCATCTCTCTGGCCCTCTAATTACTTTCTTTTTTTTTTATAATTTATTTATTTATTGAATCACTGTGGGAAAAGTTACAAAGCTTTCAGGTTTAGGTCTCAGTCATGCAAGTATCAAACACCTTTCCCTTTACCATTACTTATTTTTTACCACAAAGAAGCCCAATAAAACCCCACCCTCGCCCCTCCCAATGCCTGCGAGGCAGATGAATTCTAGTTGACACTCTATCTGCTTTGATTAGATTCATTGTTGCAATAAAAGATGCACCACTATTATTTAAAGTTTACCCCCTCCCCCCAAATCAGACATACTGAGAAAGCATTGTGAAGTGATTCGCTTTCTACAGCTGGGTTCAAGAATTAAATGTTGGTTTTGGATTTCTGCTATTTTGCTAATTAACCCTGGAAGTATTTCTACTGAGAGTCAGATAATTAAGAGATTGGTTTCTGTGATCTGGAGTCGTGGCCGTGCTGGAGAGCCGCTCGTGAGGGGCAACTGGCGGCCTCGGTAGGGCGTGAAGGACGGACCAGAACGCCCCTCTTCCCATGAGGTTTTTGTCGCCCCCACACCCACGGCTCACATCTGCTGTCCACAAGGCTCCCATGTGGCCGCCATCTTTCTTTCCAGAGGGAGGAGGGCGGAAGGGAGCAACACCCTTTCCCCTCTGGGCAGACATGATGGCCTGGATTGACGCATAGTCCGTTCACTTTTCTGCTCCAAGCTGCTGGGTTCTGCATTAAGTTCTTGTGCTTCTGGGGCCGTGGCCTTGTTGGAGAGCCACTCGTGGAGGGCAACTGGTGACCTCGGTTGGGCGTGAAGGATGGACCAGAACGCCCCCCTACCCATGAGGTTTTTGTCACCCCCGCACCCCCAGCTCATACCTGCTGTCCACAAGGCTCCCATGCGGCCGCCATCTTTCTTTCCAGAGGGAGGAGGGCGGAAGGGAGCAACACCCTTTCCCCTCTGGGCAGACATGATGGCCTGGATTGACGCATAGTCCTTTCACTTTTCTGCTCTAAGCTGCTGGGTTCTGCATTAAGTCCTTGTGCTTCTGGGGCTGTGGCCGTGCTGGAGAGCCGCTCGTGGGGGGCAACTGGTGGCCTCGGTAGGGCGTGAAGGATGGACCGGAAAGCCGCCCTTCCCATGAGGTTTTAGTCGCCCCGCATCCCCGGCTTATACCTGTTCTCCACAAGGCTCCCATGCGGCTGCCATCCTTCTTTCCAGAGAGGAGAGGCGAATGGGGCAACACCCTTTCCCCTCTGGGCAGACATGATGGCCTGGATTAACGCATAATCCGTTCACTTTTCTGCTCCAAGCTGCTGGGTTCTGCATTAAGTCCTTGTGCTTCTGGGGCTGTGGCCGTGCTCCAAACTTAACTCTGATTTTCAGGGAGAAATGTTGGGTGATTTACTTCCCATTGATCACTTTGTATATACAGAGATGTTGCATGGCCATGTAAGCGGCCGCATGGTTTGGAGGAAATGTCCTAGTTCCCGCATACTCGAGCTATGCTTGTGGAGGCTTCTGGTCACCGGGGTTCCATCTGGGGGAGGCGGGATGCGGCACCTACCCCATCCTGGACTTCCCAGTGATCTCGGCTCTTTTTGGAAACTGGTGCCTTCTCCGGGAGCTGTGGAGCCAGCCCTCCATGTGGCCCTTCTCTGCGGCTGTATGCTGTAAAGATGGCGCTGGGGGGCGGGCCGTGGGCATGACTTCCGGAATCAGAGGGTACCTGGGAGCCAAGGTGGTCCTGGCAGTTTGGAGGAAAAGTCCTAGTTCCCACATACTCGAGCTATGCTTGTGGAGGCTTCTGGTCACCGGGGTTCCATCTGGGGGAGGCGAGATGCGGCACCTACCCCATCTGGAACTTCCCGGTGATCTCGGCTCTTTTTGGAAGCTGGTGCCTTCTCCAGGAGCTGTGGAGCCAGCCCTCCATGTGGCCCTTTTCTGCGGCTGTATGCTGTAAAGATGGCACCTGGGGGCGGGTCATGGGCGTGACTTCCGAAATCAGAGGGTACCTGGGAGCCAGGGTGGTCCTGGCAGTTTGGAGGAAAAGTCCTAGTTCCCGCATACTCGAGCTATGCTTGTGGAGGCTTCTGGTCGCCGGGGTTCCATCTGGGGGAGGTGAGATGCGGCACCTACCCCATCTGGGACTTCCCGGTGATCTCGGCTCTTTTTGGAAGCTGGTGCCTTCTCCGGGAGCTGTGGAGCTAGCCCTCCATGTGACCCTTCTCTGCGGCTGTATGCTGTAAAGATCTTATGTGAGTTTTTAAAGTGTGTAACTTTAGTATTACTTACAAACAGGGCTTAATGAAAAATACTCAGTAGTTAACAGAAATAAAGAACATGCAGTGTCCAGGCTCAAGTG